CCAGCAAGTGAGGCTGGGAATGTAAAATAGTACCTGGATACTGAGGAGGGGGACAAATGTCCATCCCACAGTAAAACCTTACTGTAAATTGTTCTGGATTATTGACTCACCTTAATAACACACACAGGGGAAGGTTTTTTCTTTTCTTCTTCTTTTCTTTTTTTTAAACAAATTTATCATAATCATTAGGGGAGGTACCATAAGATAGGAATTAACTGTGTAGATTCTAGAGTGGCTTTTCTCAGGGGGCAAATCCAATCCCACCATTCACTAGATGTGACCTTGAGTAAGTAACCTGTCAACTCTAAGTCCTCATTTATCTGTCTTAACAATGGAGACTGGTACTGGCACCCACGTTCACTATGATTTGGATGTTGTGTTTGTTACTTATCTCTCATTGCTGAGACAAAATACCTGACACCCAAAATTAAGTGACTTACAGTTCACACAAGTTTCAGTCCATAATCGGCTAGCTCCAAGGTAGGATGGATGGTAGACAGGCATCACAGAGAAGAAACAACATGTCAAAGCAAATGCAACAAGGGGCCTTAACAGTGTCTTTCTGTGCATTTTATCCCATCCATAGTGCCCGGATTAGGGTGGGCCAAACCAATCACTCATGTACAGTGATTTAGTAATCACATGCCCTTAATCTCAGCATCACACATTCCAGATTCAGCCAGCCCTGGAAAAGAAAGCCCCACTTCATCTGCATGAGGCTTTGGGGGGACATCTAAACACAAGTCATAACATATGTGATTTAATTGTTTGTGTCCCCTCAAGGATCCATTGCAATTGAGGGCTGCTCCCTGGTTTAGCGCTATTGGGAGGTGCTTAAACCTCTGGGAGCTGGAGTCTGCAGGGAGGTCCCCAGCTCCCTTTGAACATTGCCCTTGAAGGGGACTGTGGGCCTCCAATCTCTCTCTGACTTCCTGTCTGGTGGTCAGACCTTGGACAAGCTACTTAATCACCCCACACCTCAGTTTCTTCATTTGTAGAAGGAGCATAGTAATAATAAGTACCTATTATTATCGTGCAAGTTGAATACATGAATAAGTGAAAAGTACTGAGAACAATGTCTGGCACATAGAACATGCTCAATAAGTGTTAGTTATCATTGTTAGCTGTTACAGATTTCAGATCTATTTTCATCTACTATTTCACCTTTTCATTTGCCAATACCATACTATTTTGATTGCTGGAAAAGGTTCAGTTCAGTAGTGTTCTTTTTCAGAATTTTCATGGCTTTTTAAAAATTCAACTTAACTCTTCATATAAAATTTAAACCACTTCATCCAGTTTCACAAAAAGCAACGGGGATGATTGGGACTGGCCAGCCTTGCCTCTTTCCTTCCCATGCCCCCCAAACCCACCCTGACCCTAACTTCCAGCTCAGAATTGGCTTCCTGGGAATCCCAACCTGAGGCATAGGGCTTCATTGAAATTAAACCCTTCTGAGCCAGGTGTGGTGGTGCACTCCTGTCATCCCAGCACTTGAGAGGCTGAGGCAGGAAGATCAGCATGAGTTCAAGGCCAACCTGGGCTCTATAGTGACTTCAAGGGCAGCCTGAACTCCATAGTGTGACCCTGTCTAAAAACAAAAGAAAGTCTTCTGTTCTTTGAAGGACACTGTTAAGAAAATAAAAAGAGAACATATTCAAAATACAGCACATGCATCCATCCAAAGACTTGTATCCATGGTATAGAAAGTACTCTGGCAACTCAATAACAAAGCCCCAACCCAATAACAAAATGATGAAAGCTCTGAAGAGGTGCTTTACAAAAGGATGTATAGTTATGATTAATGAGCACATGAAAATCCAACAAGGATGGGGAATCAGCAAAATTAGCCTGGACATCCCTGTGGTATGGAAATAAGGAGGTTTCTGAACAAAGCCAAACAAAAGTCACAAAGATGGAGTGAGTCAAAAGGACCAGAGCCAAATAAACGGGCTCCCAACAGTCAATCCTGAAACCTTTGAGCATTCAGATAGCTAAGTAATTAATAATTAAGTACTTAACAAAATAGCATAACCAAATCATTAAACAATGAGTATAGTTAAATATTGGGTTATATCCCACTGTGTAAAAGAAGAACTCATGAGTGCATGCCAACAGAAATCAATGATTGAATAAATGACACCGTGGCGAAGAACAGACAAACCTTCCCTACAGAAGAATTCCAAATGATGTAGGTAGGTCCTTTCCTGCGAGAAGACGGAGTCTGATGCCTCAGTCCTGTGTGGGGGTTACACAGAATGGTTTCCAAAGACTACAGTATAGGAAGGGGGGAAAGGGTCACTTTACCGCCAAGAATCCTGTGAGATTCTTACCTGGGTGATCAAGGTCCTGGCAACAGTGTGCTATTGCCATTGCCACAGGTGCCCTCGCGTCGTGTGGGATGTGACAGGAAAGGCATTTCCCCTTTGTGGTCTCTCTTGCCAAGACATATAATCCCAGTCTGATCATGAGAAAAACATCATGCAAATTCCAATGGAGGATGTCCTATTGGATGAGTGGCCAATACTCAAACCAACAAAGCCATGGAAAACAAGGAAAGTCTGAGAAATGGTCACAGCCAGGAGCCATGATGGGATCCTGGGACAGAAAAAGTACATTAGGTAAAAACAAAGGAAAGCCAAGTGGACTTTAGATCCTAATAATGTATCAGCACTGATTTGTTGATTATGACAAATGTACCACTTAAGGTCAGATGTTAATAAAGTAAGCTAAGTGTGGGGTGTAAGAACTCTGCACTGTGTTTTGTTAGATGAAAGAATTCTAAAATTAAAAAAAACCTTATTAAAAAACCCCCAGACACATCATTACTCATCAAGGGAATGTGAACTTGAGCCACAATGAGGTGTCTATGGTGAATGATGGAAAAGCCTTGACAATGTCCATGTTGACAAAATTTGGGAGAACTAGACCCCTCCATAGCTTGAGAGCATGTAAAAATCACACATCTACTTTGGAAAACGATTGTATACAGTTAAAAAATACTTGATATTTCACACAGAAATTCCATTTGTAGGTATTTATCTGGTAAAATGAAAATGTATCTAATCAAAGACTTGTACATGACTACTTGTAGCATATTTATTCACAATATCTTCAAACTGGAAACAACCCAAATGTCCATCATCTAGCGAGTAGTAAGTATATTGTGGTGTATGCAGCAATAAACAGAAAGAATTTACTGATAGCATCTACAACATGGATGAACCTCGACATTATTTGAGTAAAAAAGAAATTCGACACAAAATAGTGCACACTCTGTGATTGCATTTATCTGGACTCTTCTAGAACATGTGCACATAAACTAGGGTGATGAGTTCAGATCAGCATTGCCTGAGGCAGAAGGTGGGCAAGGCGTGACTGCAAAGGGGTACAGGGGGACTCTCTGACTTAGTGAAATTGTTCCCCGTCTTAGTCCCGGGCGGTAGTTACCCAGCTGTACATCTTATCACAACTCATTGTGTACTTAAAACTGGTGCCTTTTACTGTGAATAGATGAGACCTCAATAAAGTTTATTTTTTTTTTTTTGAAACAGGGTCTCATTTTGTAGTTCAGGCTAGCCTTGAACTCACTTTGTGGACCAGGCTGACTTTAAACTTGCAGTGATCCTCCTGCCCCAGCCTCTGAAGTGCTGGGATTGCAGGCGTGTGCCACCATGCCTGCTCAAAACTGATTTTTTTAAAAGAAAAAAATTACAAAGCTGAAAGTCTAACTGGAATGACATCATTTATACTCTGAGAGGCATTTCTACAGCTTTTAAAAACTAGTAATTATTTTTGGTGGTACTGGGGATTGAATTTGGCCTCCCACATACTAAGCAAGCTCTTCCCCCCAGCTCCTCCCCTGCCACTCCCTGTAGCTTCAGATACTTGGCCGGTGGCCTACTGCTTCTGCAGCCTGCTCTCCACCTCTGCGCTCCAGATCCCTTGTACTCAATGCTGCCGTACACACTCGCTCGGGTGCTCAGAAGCTCCTTCACCTCCCCGTGTGCAAGCCAAGCCCATAGTCTTCCCTGTGTCCACCCTGTATCTTAATAAATGGTGCCACCAACTTTATTTTTTTGAGATAGGGTCTTGCTATGTAGTCCTCCAACTTCCAGTGATCCTCCTGCCTCAGCCTCCAGAGTGCTGGGATTACAGGTGGGCACCATCACACACACACCAATTTTGCATGGCATTTTCTTCCTCTCTAAGCACGTGTCTACATCATGACCAGCTGTGGTTCACTTTTCCCTGAACACTTGTCTCCACCATGGAAGATCTTTCTTCTCTACTGCCGACTGCCCTAGTCCCTAAGGTGCCAGGTCCAACCAAAGCTGACCTGGGCACTCTTTTCATGGCCAGGAGGTCGATTTTGAAATGTTAACTCCACCATATCCTCTCCCACTGCCTGACGCCTTTCCCTGGGGGGCTTCCAGTTTCCCTTGCAGCCCGGCCTAATCCCCAGCTCCTCCGGCCCACCCACACCACCCCTCAGCCTGGCGCGGGCCTCCCTGGCTCCTGGATAGGGCCAGCTTCATTCCGGGTCTGGGCTCAGGCCATGCCCTCCCTCTCCCCTCCCTCCCCCCTCCCTCTCCCCTCCCACTCCTCCCAACCTGGTCCTTGGGACTAATTTTTCCCATTTCAACCCAAATATCCCTCCTTGGACCGTTGCACACTTAATGAAATCTATTAGCCACTCGCACGACACCACACTTCCTTCACACTCTCCCTCTCTTTCACCAGCATTTAACTCTGTAATCGCTCTTTATATTTTTAGATAATGTTTGGATTAATCAACTGATCAACCAAGCACTTACACCCGTGAATGGCATCACCTGTGCACCCATTGACAGGCAGACGCCCTGCCCAATGCGCTTCTAGGCCTCGCCCAGTCTGCCCCGCCCCACGCGGGTTCTGCCACTTTATCCAATCACGTGCTGAGCTGGCAGCCGCAGCTATATAAAAGGCTTCAGGTCCACGCCCAGTGCAGTTCAGTTCCTGCAGAGCTCCTGGTTGAACGTCTGGACCTGCTTAGTCTCCTTTCTTCGGCTTGGTATCAGCCACACCTTCGACCCTGCTGACTTCCTCAGACTTTCAACCCCTCGGGCCTCTTTTCTAGAAGGTTTGCTTGGCAGTGGCTCTGATTATCAGAGTTCCAGAGCCAGCTGCAAAGAACACAGCGAGGAAATCAGGTACGCCTGGGGGTCACGGGTAGATCGGAAAGATCTGGCAAGGCACAAAATCCTCAGTGCCCTAGAAGTGCTGGGAAAACTGCACCTCAACCTGGTTCCTCTTTGAGGGATCATCCCTTCGCTTGGCCAAGGTTGACTCCTCTGACCTTTTCTTGTAGAAATTGGGACAAATTAGGCGCCGATCCTTTGGTCTTTCCCGTCCCAGTCTGCCCCTCCCTGAGCCTGTCCTTAGTTCTGCCCGCAGGGAGCCCAGGCCTGGGCGGCAGCCTGGTGCCCTCTCTGAACATGGCAGGGGCCAGGACTGTTGGCCTTGGGGAACAAAGGTGTGGCCTTAGCCCCCAGACTCAGCGCTCTCACCTCGTCTGTCCTGCAGTTACCCATGGAGGAGCAAAGGCCTCCGAAGCGGCCCCGCGCAGTGGCTCCTGATCCAGGTACTGTCACATGCCAGTCACTCTTTTTAGGTCTTTCCTGGTTTCTCCCTTTCATTTAGTACTAACTTACAGATCCACGTATGGTATGCTGTGACACAGCAGTTCTTCCCCTTCTTAACGTCGCACACCTTAGAGACAGCCTCTCCTGGTGTAAACAGGTCCTTTTAGCATCACTCCTGTTCTTTCAGGTGCCCAGTATGATATTATGTTTTCTTGCATCTCAGACTTCATGTGCATCCACTGTCGGGTAGAGGAGTATCTAACTCTAGTCCACATATTGCTATCGTGGTCATTACCACCGTTCATCTCACACACCCCACCCACTGCAGCCCCCACACACCTTCTACCCACATCACCCCTACAATTCTATTCAAAATGGAGCCATGCAGAATACTAGGGTTACATTTCCCTTCTTGCATGACTTAAAATTTCCAGGACTTGCCATCTATCTTGGGTTATTCTTTGCTTGCTTCTCATGAACTCATTCTCAAATTCTTCCTCAGTTGTTTGAAATCAAACACAAGCGCCCATCAATTTCACCTTCTCAGAGTCTTGCCCCTCACAGCTTCCCAGAGGTCGCCCCAGGTCACCCCTCACCATCATGGGAGAGTCCTTAGCCTCTCCTTTGGAATTTTATCCTATTCCCTATATCAGCTTTCTTTTTCTTTTTTATTTACTTTTTCTTTGGAGAAAGTCTTCCAATGACCTCCCAATAAAACATGCATTAAAAGGAAATTATTTAAGTGCTTGCATGTCTAAAAATGCCTTCATTCCAACCGCCCTCATTTCTAAGTGCTATTTGGGTAGTCAAAATGTATTTGGGGACTCCATTTCCCTGAAAATTTTGAAGACATTTTCTGTTATCTTCTAGATTTGAGTGTTGCTTTCGAGATGTCTGATTTTGGGGACATTCTGACTCCTGATCCTTTAGGTAGATCACTCTCTTCCTCTCCCCCCTCCTGTCCCTACCCCTTCCTGCTTTCCCCTACCGTCTCCTCTATCTCTCTCATTCTCTGTCATTTTGTCTCTCTAGAAATTTTCGAATCTTCCCTTGTCACTTGTACTCTGAAATTTTATAGTAATACACCTTGGTCATAATGTGCCTGTGGTTTTCTTATATTTCATTCCTCTTTCATCATTTTGGGGTTTTGGTCTCATTTTGGAAGATTTCCTCAACTTTATTCTCCAAAACTTCGATGGAGATTTTCATTTCTACTCTCATAATTTTAATTTCAAAAGGCTTTTTATTCCTGAATGTTCTTGTTAAAAGTATCCTATAATTGATTCATGGATATAATTTATTCTCTTATCTCTCTATAGATATTAATTATAGTTTGGGGGGAGTTTCATCTGCAGTATGAATGGTTTCCTCCAAACTGATTGACTGGCTTCCTGTCTCTTGTGTTGTCTTTCCTCTGATATTGTCTGGGGTCCTGAGGGTTTCTGAGCTTATGGGTGGGGCTTATTGACTGTGGCTTTCACAGAATTTATACAGTTGGGCTGTCAAGTGGGGGAGCACCTAGTGCCAGCTTCTTAGTAGTCTTAGATGACACGTGTTCCCCAGAAAAGAATCTGCAGATGATAAATGCCAGCTTTCATCGATAAAATTTCCAGATATGTGTCTGGTTCTGGGCTTTGAGTCATTTATCTCTGTGCAGAACACCACACTGTCTCCAGTGCTAGATCTGCACAGTACTTTTTGATCTATGATAAACCAAGTACCCTCACCTTGGTATTAAAATTTGACAGTCATTGCCAAATTGTTCTCTGAAACATTTTCCTTCATACATGGAGTGCTCTCAATCTTTTAATCTTTGCCATTTTGATTAGATACATAACAATGTCCTAATGTTTTCTTTAATTTGAATTACTACATGTGAATTTAAGCATCTTAGATATAGTTCAGCCCTTTGGTTTCCCTGTTATGGATTGCTTGTGATTGTTCCTTGTTATTTCCTTTTATTGGCTTGTTGTCTTATTGTTTTGTTGTTGTTGTTTATTTGTTTATTTGTTAATTTGGTTTTTGATACAGGGTCTTGCTAGGTAGCCCAGGCTGGCCTTGAATTTGCCAAGATCCTCCTGCCTCAACTTCCCAAGTGCTGGGATTACAGGCATGTGCCACCACACCTGGTTCTATTTTACCTGTTTTAAATGCTCTTTGCATTTCTGGGGTTTATTAGTTCAGGTTTTCTTCACCAATTAAGGGCATTCTCCCCATTGCCAACTCCTGGAATTGTATCTGAGCCAAGAAAGGATAGGGTGTTTTATATAGTGTCATGCAATTGGGCAGAGTGCTCCAGTCCTTGGTCCACACAGCCATCCCCATTCTTTTGTTTGTGCTGGTGCATGATCATCAGTTCATGCAGGTCCCTCTGATCCCTCTATGCCCTGTTGCAAGGCCCCTCCCAGACCAGTCTTCTACTCACTCGTGTCATTCTTGGTTGCTCTGCAGCCACAGTGAACTGGAGGTGAAGTAGGGAAGGGCAGATGTAAATGGCTGTAAAGGTCACGGGTCATTTCTAACTGCTGAATAAGGCGTGAACTTTCCCTGTCCTTGGTCTCCCAGGGCTGATTTTTGAGGTTTCCAGTCCTCAAACAGTTTTATGTATACTGTCTTTCCTGAGTTCCAAGACTCTTTGAAGCTCCAAGTACAGGGATGCCTCCTGTCCCCTATCTGTCTCTTTCTGCCATCCCCTGATTGCAATGGGGTCAGAGGCCTGCTGCAGGACTACTAACATGTCACAAATGATGTGGCCACCACAGAGCACCTGTGGGGTCCCAACCCTCACCTCCCGATGCTGGCGAGACTGACTAGGTTGTAGATTAAGAATCCACACGAGTTTGCATTTTCCTACCCAGGAACTGGAGAAAAGCTCGCTCATCAGATGGTCTCATCTGGTCTGGTGTTTTGGGTAATGATTTCAGAGAAAGTGCTATGATAATATTCTGTTTGTTCCACTGTAACGGATCTACTTGAGATTCTCAATTACTCCCGAGTCTTCCTGCAGCCTCCCCGTGGTGGCTCCCCAACCTGCTGCTGAAAATCCTACCCCTTCTCTGTATGGCTCCAGCTCACTGGTCCTCTTCCTCCCCAGCGTTCCCACTGCATCGTTGCCTCCTTTCTATCTCTGCTCCCACTGCCTTTCCTTAACTTCCCCAAATCTCCTCTAGATGCCTGCAGCCTTCCCACTCCTGGCTGCCAAGCATGCCTGCTGCCTGCTGCCCTCTGACTCCCACACTTCACTTTCTGAAACCCAACTGTCATGGCCTTGCTCCCTCAGAATCTCTCAGTCATTCCTTCCACCACAGGACCAAGCAGGACTGGCTGAAAGGCATCTTTATGAGCCTCCCCTCCTACCATTTTAAGCTTCTCCAATTCTGGAAGAATGCTGTTCCCCTTAAGGTCCAGGCTGATGTCTACTCCTCCATCCATACTCCTGGGCCTCCTCCTGCCAGCATGTTTCAGAGGCTGCCTCAGCCCAACACTGGTCTAAGCACTTTGCTTGCCATAATGGCCTTATAATGACCCAAGAGTTGCATGTCATGGTACTGATTCATGAAAAAGGAGCCCAAGGCCAAGAGCCATGTATCTGAAATCCCAAGCATTCCTAGTATAGACACAGTGCTCCCTTGGCCTGGCACCCCCTGACCTAGCATGACCCATTGGCATTGTTGCAGTATCTCTCCTGCTGACGTGTAGGGCAGGGATGCCACACCATTATTCTGAATCAATCTCTAGCCAACTCCAGCTCCGATTTGCTCATCATCACTGTGAGGCCTGGAATACCCACATGACAAGGTTACTGGGGGAATGTGATGAAGCACTGGCTGATGGGAAGTCCTGTCCAGAAGGGCCCTGGGCAGACAGGGCCCTGGGCAGACAGGGCCCTGGGATTGCTTCAAGTGCCCTGGTCCTGCCCCTTCCCCTGCTGGCAGAGGACCCTGGGCTATCCCCTTGCCCTGCTTCTGCCCTGCCTTCCCCAAAGGCTTCCAGGACAAAGCCCCTTCTCTCTTCTTACCCTCTATTCCTCTCTTCAGCCTCAGATGGGGACCTCAGGGAGTCAGACTATCCTGGTGTGGAACCTGAAGACCCAGGTGAAGCAGATGGCCCAGTGGAGCCAGGACAACCTGAGAAACCCATTGCTTATGTGAACCCCATGAGATGCGAGGTCCCTGTCCATGCAGAGCCAGCTGAACCTGCACAAAGAGGCCGCATCCGGAGAAGACCCCGGCAAACAGGGAGAGCTCACACTCGGAGACAGAGTCGGAGAGCAGGAAGGCGTAGCCGCTGGGAGACAGACTCCCAGGAGCAGCTAGAAGAATCTCAGGAGCAGCTAGAAGAATCTCAGGAACTAGATGTGCATGGACAGGTGGATGACCAGGAAGAGCCAAGCCATGTGGATGTGGAAGCCAGGTGGACCCCACCCTTCTCCTTCATCACAGCACCTACAGTCCATGAAGACGAGGTGTCAGGGCATAGATCCCACCCAACCCAGGTAGCAGGGGAAATCCGGGAGCCGTCCCCTGTCTCAGGGTACTGGGCTGTCTTGGGAAGGCAGATTTCAGCCATCTATCCCTGCATAGGCTTCATCCCACTGCTCGGCTCCTCGCTGCACTTCATGGAGACCTCCTTCGGCACCCACGTGTTCGGAGTCCCTGTGTTCTTCACCAACATCGCACGCTGACCTGTCACCTGCTTCAGCTTCCTTCCCTCCTGCTTGGGACTGTGTGTAATACTGCTCCCTCCTCGCTCAGAACCAAGGAGAGAATCAATCCCATTTCTGCTCCACACCTCCCTGCCTGTACCTAGCAGTGCCTTCCTGTTGTTGGCTCCAAACCCTCCTCCAGGATCCCAACAACACCTGCCAGCTGCTTCCAAAGCCCCTCCTGGCTATGTTTTATCTACGCACACATATATTTAGTTCCTCAGGGCTTGTTAAAATAAATCAGCAGTCTCCTCTTGTCCTCCTTCCAGGCACGTTTTTTCCTACCCGATATGTACAACCACCAAATGTTTTTCAAAAAGACATCAGGAAAGAGGGGGAAAAAAAGGAAAAAGTGACACTCAAGGAAATAAACCTAATAGAATATTCAGGAAAGTGGACTTTTACAAGAATATAATTAATACCCTCAGAGAGAAATGGAATGATCTATCCTTGAGATGGTAGCGTGTGGTACATAAAAAAGCCAATTACAGAGACTAGGGATGAGAAACAAGGTTGTTACAATACAAAATTATGTGGATGGTTTGAGTCACAGATTGGATGGGGCTGAAGAACAAATCAGTAAAATAGATGTTTGGGCAGAGGGAGGCCCCGGAATGTAGCAAAAGATGTGACAGATGAGTTCCACTGAAAGCAGTTCTGAAAGAAAGGCTAGCTAACACAGGAGAATCTGAACATTTGGATGAGAGCAACATATGAAGAAATCATGGCCACTTATTCCCCCAAGTGAAAGACATACATCATTAGCAAGATATGAGAATAACACAAATCTGGAAGTATGAAACATGATGGCGAGAAATTTCCAAAGGCAGCCTGAGAGATGAGCCCCACAAGGAAAGCTCAGATTCGCACTGGACTTTGCCGAGCAGCGTTGGTGAGTTTGAGAAGCCACGGGGCAACATCCTCAGAGCTTTGAAGGGAGCTGACTCTGAACAGAGAATTCTGTAACTTGGACACATTTTTGGGGTGGGGAGGGAGGCAGGAAGTGTCTGCCCAAGATGGAGGCCACAGGATGGGAGGAAGGACTTAGAAAGGAAAAGGGAAAAGCTCGAATCCAAAGCATGAATTTTCCCCGAACTTGCAGCACACAACTTTTAATAAATGAGGTAATAAAAGCCCCTTATGGTCTTAGTCCATTTTTCTGTTGTGATATCACTAAGTACTGCAGCCTGGGTGGTTTATAAGGAATAGAAGCTTATTGGGCTCACAGTTCAGAGAATCCAAGAGCACTGGTGCAACCTTCCTGTTCTATGGGGAAATGTTATAGGGCGTCACATGCCAGCTGAAGCCAGCTGGCCGGTGTGAGCTTGCTTCAACAAAGCCACTCCCTTGGTAACTCATCAACCCACCAATCTGAGAATGGATTAATCCACTCATAAAGGGAGATCTCTCCTGATCCTCCCAAAGGTTCCACCACTCAACACTGCTACCTTGGGAACCAAGTTTCCAACACATGATCCCTGGGGACACCTTCATGGCGCTGCACCGATCAAACTGTTTGGAGTCTGAAGTTGTTACCTGCACTGAAAGCACAGATCATGTGATTCAGTTGGGAAAAACAAACATCAGCACAAAAAACAGAACCTGGGAGGAGAAAGTGGGCTGCAAGGAGAACCAGGGAAATAGTAGTGTATTATTAAGTCTAAATTAGTGTGATTGTGGAAGAAAGATGAATAATCTGGAATTAAGTGTCAGAACACTTGGACTGAGACATCTGGGGTGTGTCGAGCCCAGAAGGGCTCAAAGTTAAGAGTTCTTATCTAGTTCCTGGAGACAATATAGATGCTCAGTGTGAAAGAGCAGCAACCGACATTTTTAAGTTTAAGTATGGGTTCTCACTGGGAACCACTAAATGAGTCAAAATAGAATGTAAAATTTGAAACAGATTGAGGAAAGAGTGGATCAAAGAAAATTTGATGAATCAAACAAAAGGCATGGGGGGTTAATGGGAACAAGGAGAAAGCAGGAGAGAGTAAAAATGTTAAATGGAGAATAAATAATTTGACAGTGGCCTCCTTGGCTTCCTCCTGGCTTCAATGGGAATATTTTAAATGTTTTACTGTTAAGTAGGATGCTTGCTGTAGCTCTTCGTAGATATGTTTGATCAGGTTGAGGAAGTTACCCTCTTAAAAGGTGTATTATGAATTGGATTTTGTACTTTGTGAAGTAGGCTTTTGACCAGCTGATTTTTAATTTGTAAGAGAAAAATCACAAAAAATGAAGAGAATTTTTCCCACCATCATTTTTTTCTTGTGTATTCAACTATATCTCCTTAACCGAAAACCTCTGGTTTTTGTTGTACTACACTTCTCTTATTCAAATCTCACAAGTCCCCAGTGTAAAATGTGGTTACCAAAACCAGGGGGGAAAAATTACAAAATAATGAAGGAAAAGAAAAAGTGTGGCCTCCCTATTCTCCATCCTCGTAACCATACAGCCTATTCAAACTGGTGTGTATGAGAAGCGTCAAGTGTGGCTGGACTTTATAAACATGGGATATGACATCTTCCAGGGGTCACACTATAAAGTGCCTGTAAGATCCAGCAGATGACACGGGTGGTAGGGGCGCCAGGGAGCACAACCTGCCCCTCGGCTTGGCTTGGAAAGCCCTTTCTTGGCACCCCACTGGGATCCCAGTCTCGCGAGAACCTATTTCGCTCCGGGCTCGCTGCTGTGCGTATACCCTGTGAAATTTCTCTCCGGGCTCCCTGCTGTGCGTATGCCCCGCCATCACCCTGGGCCTCTCTGCTTGGGTATCCTTCTGCAAGATGCAGGAGTTCCAGGCTGTACGGCCAGTGCTTTGCAGTTTCCAGGATGTTTGTACGGCCCAAATGCTCTACTAAATATTTGTACATGGAACCTTGAGTACCAGTTTTTGTTTTTAACTTTATAAAATCACTTCTCAAAGGGAGATCCTTATGTCAAGTGGTATGGCCAGATTTTACTGTCACAGATACTGAGAAACTGCATCCAAATGAGGTTGCATCAAGGCCAATTCCTACCAGCAGCGGATGAGGGCACCGCTTCCCAGCAGTCAGTGCTGGGCCTCTGTAATGTTTTTGCCAATCTCTTGGGGAGAAATATGTTATCTTGTTTTTGTTCTAATTAGAACTGCCTTGACTACTAAAAAGTTGTAGTATCTTTTTATTTATTTGTAATCTATTCATTTATTGGCCGTTTTTATTTCTTTCTGTGTTAGTTGTCAACATGTTTCTTTCGTCCATATTTTATAGGATTTTTTTCTCATCCATTTGTATGGCCTCATATGTTAGAGATAGTAATACTTGGTCGTGCCTGGTGTAGATATTCCTCCAGTCCAGCCTTCCTCCTTCCTCTCCACTGAACCTGTCTGGCTTCCCTGTGACGGCTTCAACCCAGCCCCGCCCCCGGGACCCAATTGCTCTTCCAGTTCCTTCAGTGGGCTCTGCTTCCCTCCCCTGAGGGTCAGAGGGGCACATCTGCCACAATGGTGGCCTCGCTCAGCAGTGTGGACAGTGCTTTTCTAGTCATTTCACGATGTGATCATTGTTTGAGGTAAACATGGCCAATTCCAGGGTTTCACTGTTAGCTCTGTCCCTCTACATTCCTCTCTCTTTGGGGAGAACCTTAGTTTCTTTTCTGTTGCTGATAACACAACACACAGGCTGGCTGAGTTGGAAGGAAGGAGGTTTACTGTGGCTTGGGATTCTGTTTTAAGGCAGAGGGGCTGCACCTGGTGATAAAGACTCCTGAAGTGGTACAGGGCATCCCATGGTGAGAGAAAGGGAGCTTGCAAGAGACCCAGCCCAACTGGCTTTTTGAGCAAACTCACTCTCAAGGTGCCCACTGACAATCCATTGATGGAGTGATTGGCCCTGAAGGCAGAGCCCTCTTAAAGTTCCTCTTAAAGGTCCCACCTTGTTCCACCTCTATAGCCTATGTGGGCATTAAATTTCAATGCAAGCTCCAGCGGGGACAAAGCACATTCAAAACGTAGCAAGGTAACATATTCTTGGAGCAGGAGATTCTTTCAGTCCTTGGGAGATGTCAGCCTCTAGGCTTAACCAAGGGGCCTTTCTCCTTGCACTCACATCCCTTTGGGTCACCTGAGCTTCCTGCAGGTGACTCATGTCTGCCCAGGTACACATGGATGTGGTCCTACCCCAGGTGAGCAGGGAAACACCACACTTGCCTTAGGCCCTTTGCCAAGGTACCCGCCTGGCCCCATCTAATCTACTGTGCTCAAAGATGGTGGCTCTTCCCGCTCATGGCCCACTTCCACTTCCTTCTACCTCTAACCTCTCTGGTCCCAGGCCCTCTGGGAAGCCTCTGCCACACCCCTCCTCCCTCTTTCCTCCCCACATCTCACCCTTTTTCTACTTCCCAGGACCTCACTCCAGCACAGGGTAGGCAACATAGCAACTCTGCCCTCTGGATGCACTCTGAGTGTAGAAAGCAATCAATGGATCTCAGATGTTGGGAGAATGATTGGGGTAAGAGTGTCATAAGTAGTATTTCATAACAGAAAGCATAACTAATACTGGCCAATGCAAAACTAGGCTTATTTATTTCTTATATGGAAGAAGTTTAGAATTACGAAGTCTTGGTCTTATATGGCAGCTTTTAGGTCTATAATCTCGCTACTCCCTTATAGTATATGTCTTCCAGGCACACAATTCAAAATGGCTGCTGGAGCTCCAAGCATCAATTCCTAATTCCAGAAGTAGAAAGTGAGACAATTGTTTTTGTTTTTTAAATGTATCTCTGATTCAGTACCCATACAGCTGTCTTTCTGAAAGTCCAGCCCTTATACTTTTTCCTTTCTATCTCAGTAGCCTCAACTTTTTCACGGCCATATCTGGCTGCAAAGGAGTAGGACAAATAAAATATTTCAGCTGATGCACTGCTATTCTGAACAACATCAGGATCTGTTTTAAGGAAAAAAGGGGAGAATTGGTGTAAGATGGTAAATAACAATTCCCAACATAATAGGATAAAATGAATTGCAGAGGAGATAAACATCTGTTAATCCTTTAAAAATATACCACCACAAACCATTTTTGTCAGGTGCCCAAAAGTGTTATTGATATTTTGAGTAGAAGTGGGGATTTTGAATGTTTAATTCAGGAAAAACATATTTTACCATATTGAGTCTTCCTACCCAAAGGAAAGGTACCCAAAGATGTATGTCTTATTTCCCCATCTGTGGAGAAATGAGCAGAAACCAATTATATTAGAAATGGCACATTGTGATGAGTCTGTCTGATTTTCTGTTCCTTCCCAGTCAAGTCTGTGTCCCATGTCAATGCCCAGCTGTCTTCCTCCACCATCTTGGGTGGTTCTCAACCCCTGGGGAGCCGAGAGCTGGGAATGAATGGTGCATCTCAAATCACCTTGGATGTCTCTGGCTATACCATTCTAAATGAACCTGATCTTGTCAAACCACCTTGGAGGTACTAGTTTCATGAGTGTGGGGTGTGGTCTGGGCAGCAGGATTTTGTTTGTTTTTTGTTTTAAGACAGTGTCTCATTATATAGTCCAGGCTGGCTATGAACTCACTATGTAGCCCAGGCTGGCCTTGAACTCACAGCAATCCTCCTGCCTCATCCTCACAAGTGAAAGATGTTTTTTATGGTTTGGATAAAAATGTCCATCAAAGGACTCATGTGATCCAAGGTGGGGATTTGGGGAAGGTGATTGGACAAGGGGACCACATTCTCATCAATGGATTGATCTATTGATGTGTTCATACCTGAATGGCTGTTAGGAGTTGGGCCTCAGTCAGAGGAGGCATTTTAGGAGGGTGGATCTCTCAGCCTAGGCTCTTCCACTACCCCTGCTTCTGCCCACCAGGAGTGGAGTGGCTTTCTTTCTTCATGTTGTTTCTGCCTTTGAGCAAAAACATGGCCATGACCATGGCCTGAAACCTTAACACTGTGAGCTCAAATAACCCTCTAATCCTTTCAGAAACAGGTGTCAGGTATTTTGTCCCAGCAGCAGAAAAGCCAACTAATACAGAGTTTAAGGCCTCATCTAGTGACTCACCTGTGTGACCATGGTCGAGACCTATAGCTCCAGTTTAAATCTCTCTCGTATACATCAAGAGAGAAGAGACATTCTACCATGGAAAAAC